CAAACGGATTTTCATACGGTTTTCACCAATAGACGGAGTGATCCAAGACGAATGTTCATGTGCATAATGCAGTTATTAATGTTTCATATGAAATGGAAGAAATTAAACTCTGCCCATCCAACAAAGTAACTCAAACAATGATAGATGCGTGATCGCCACATGATCATTACGCTGGCCAATCAGATTCAACTGAATTCAGCTGGCGGAATTCCTTCAGGCACCGTATTTCTCTACGGTGCTTCAGGTATATCTCAAAGTCGGAGTGATGAGTTACGTTTTAACGCCTGTGGTGTGTACATATACGGTATTTTGAAGTTTAAAATTTTTGAAATGTCAAGTAGTGATAAGGCTGATGAAACTGCTAAGAAATTATCCTATACCTAGCCGCATATAATTAAAAAAAAATAATAAAATTTCGGTCGTTTCTTAGTGCGACTCTGGGCAATCAGCCTTTGTCTGGGAGATCACGTGCACTATGCATGATAATGTTTTGGATCATTTTGTTGCTTAGATCGACAGAGTATATATATGTTATCCGTGACAATTCAGGGCGGTGGTGCTATCTCGCGAGCTTTCATCGAAACCGCGATAGCATATGTATATATTTTAAGGATATCTTAACTATACCACATATAATTCCTCGATAGGTACTACGTGTCGCCACTTTCCAAGAAGCCTTTCCCATTCAGAAAATGAAAATGGACTCTGACTTAGTCAATAACCCTTTCAGTTCAGTTGCTGATAGACTGATGACCTCACAAAATGCCTTAAATTACCTGAAAAGTATAAACATCACACATAGGTACTTTTTCCTTGGAAGAGACGAGTATCGAAGAACTGAATTTGCTTTACTCAAGTTAGTTTAATCGATAACCTGGTCCTTTCTTACAGCAGCAGCAATATACAGTGCATTTCTTTAATGTCCACCCCCTTTTATTTTTTGAACAGGTCAACTCAAAAAATTAATTTGGGATGATGAAATTAATGCATGAATACTTTATTTTGAAGTGAAATTGGCAGATGAAACTTTCAAGATGGCGACTGGGCGCTATCTGGAAAGAAAAATTAAATGGAAAGGGGGATCTTGTGACACATCTCTTTGAAGCTCCTGAGAAATGCTTTACAACCCTAGAATATAATGTCAATATCTTCAACTAATACAATATGGCGGAACTGTTAATAATTACCTGAATACATTGACATTTAACTACATAATATGAGGTAATAAGCTTGGGGTACGTTCAGAAGATGCTCGAAATGGTATTCTTGAACTTCTTGATATACACAACAACGTCAATATCTCTAGAAATATTTATTATTCTCTGCTGTATATCCAATACTGAAGCAGGTTCAGTTTCGTACACCTTTTGCTTCAAATAGCCCCATAAAAAAAGTCCAAAGATGTCAAACCTTGCGAGCAGGCTGGCCATTCTGTAGGACCTCGACGGCCAATCCAACGACCGGGAAAAGTAGCAATAGTTTCTTACTTGTCTGGAGTAATGTAGTGGTGCTTCATCTTGTTGGAATACAATATCTATATCGAATTCATTAGGATTCGCTTCGCGATTTCAGTGATGAGAGGGTCAACAGTAGTTTCCAGCAGTTCCCCTGTTGAATTTCGATCAATAAATAGAGGTCCTACAATATGGTTTCCCAATATTCCTGCCCAAATTTTTTTCTGGATATTGGGTATGTGTTTACCGGAAAACGTGAGGGTTGGTGTCACTCCAATGTTTTATAAACACAAAAATAAGAAAATAAACGGGAAATATTTTTTGGTTATAGAATTTGAGTTGTGGAGGAATTTCAAATCAAAGTTAAATCTAATTTAAAAAAATAGTTCAATCGAGATTTTCGGAACTAATTTAATGCCGAGATAATTAAGACCGGTATTAACGTATTTTCTACTAAAAATTTGTAGATTGACCTGTTAGTTACAAAACGTATTCAAATAACACTTTGTGGTAAGATATACTTTTGACAGTTCACAGAAGCACGGCACGGCACGGCACCATACAATACTTTTGTTTTTTGGGTGTGTTCAGCACTAACTACCCCTTTTCCACATCGTGCTGTCATAACGGGGTTTCCAACAAGAATTTTCAAACTTTGATAATTGATAACGCCCATCTTGTTGAAGCTACATCTGTCAAATTAGTTTTCAGTCTGTTTTGCCAAATCATCCTGAACGTATATAACATTCAACAACATATGCAAATAACAAAATTGTTTTATAAAAATGGTTGTTCTCTTCGGGCAACGTACCGCGCGCTATCGTGCTACCGAGAGGATTATTCGCAATGCGGTGTATAAATTTGAATCCATTGGTTCAGTAAACGATCGACCAATATCCGTACGTCGACAAACTGCAAAATCTGCCAAAAACATTACCTCTGTCTGTGAGAGTGCGCAGGAGAATCCGAAGCAGTGGATTTCGCGTCGCTCGCAAGAACTCGTGCAGGCCCAAATCACTTGCGTCGTGATTTGGGCCTGCATCCGTACAAAATTCAACTGATCCAGGAACCGAAGGTAAACCACCATAGATAACGACGTGTGTTCGCTGAATGGCCTCTGGAGCAGTTATGAACTTACCCTAATTTTCATTTAAAAATCATCTTCAGCGATTAGGCCCATCTCTGAATGAGTGAATGGGTACGTGATCAAACAAAACTGTCGAATTTTAGACGACACCAATCCACATGAGGTTCAAAGCGTCCAATGCATCCCGAAAAAGTAATTGTTTGGTGTGGATTTTGGGCTGGCGCTGTCAGCGATCCATATTTCTTTGAGAAAGACGTTGGTCAGACCATCATTGTCAACGGTGAGCACTATAGGTCGATGATTACCCAACTTATTTTGGCCTTAATGATCTAGACACCAACGACATGTGGTTTCAATAGGACAGCGATACTTGCCACAAAGCTCATGCCCTCGACAGAAGAAAAGGAGTCCTGCAAGCTTATGCAGATTACCTTGTTGGCGAGGTACACGTTGGGAAGGGTAGCTTGTTATAGCCTCCAAAGCATGTTGGACGTTGTTCACAGTTGGTGCCTGAGGGAGCAGATGTCTGTCAACCCCAGCAAAACTGTGACAATCCTCTCCACCAGGAGGAGAAAATTGGATGATCTAACGCCACTTTCCCTCAATGGTGAGGTCATTCCTTTTGGAATGGAGGTGAAATATCTTGGCATTGTCCTTGATAAAAAACACACCTGGAACGTTCACTTGGAAAAAGTTTTACACAAAGCCAGACTGTTCCTATGGACATGTCGAAGGATTTGTGGTAAAACTTGGGGTTCAGGTCCCAAACAAATCTATTAGATTTATGTGATGATTGTCAGACTTGGTGGCCGAAGGCTTTACAGAAAACGGCCCAGGCAAAGCTCTCTGGCTTACAGAGACAGGCTTGTCTGGCAATCAGTGGTGTCATCAGTACCACACCATTAGCGGCCATGGAGATCCTTCTAGATCTACCTCCTCTCCACATGTGTCTGGAGAGAGAGGCTAGATGGACTGCATATAGACTTGTTCACATTGCCAATTGCACAAAACAATTTAATGCAAAGTGCAACAGACTGTTGGTTGACACTGAAAGTCTCACCATTCTGAAAATGGCCTCTGACTTTATGCCTCCAACTGTCAACTACGAACTGCCTTATAAAGTACTGTTCTCGAGTAGAGAGGACTGTATCCTCCGGGAGAGAGAAATATTGAGAGCAGATAGTTATTAGTTCACAGATGGATCAAAGACACCTTCCAGTTCTGGTGCAGGTGTTTTCAGTCGCAGACCCAGGGCAGAGATATCAACCTGCCTAGGAACCTATGCGACTATATTACAAGCTGAAATTTACGCTATTGAATTGTGTGCGGAGAGATTGGAAGAATCCAACCTCATACACAAGTCAATGAAAATATTCTCGGACAGTCAAGCGGCGTTGGAAGCTCTTGGCTCCTACAGAGCATCGTTTAAATTGATAGCAAATTGCCAAAAACGACTCTCACCGATAGGAGGACTTAACAGATTGTCTTTGGTCTGGATTCCTGGCCATACTGGCCTGGAAGGCAATGAGGCTGTTGGCTCCCTTGCAAAGGAGGGTGCTGCAAGCAGCTTCATCGGACCAGGCAAAGCCTGAAGCGATGGCTTTGCCAAACAAACATTGAACACCTGGATGGCAAGAAGATTTATGGACTTCTTCCAGGATTGGCTCACTGCAAGGCGTTTATTTATCCTTCGAAATTTGATACCAAACAATTGTTGGACTACAGTAGGAATGAACTATGATGTCTAATAGGCCTTCTTACAGGTCACTGTCATTTGAATCATCATATGCAGAGACTCGGATTGTCGGAAGACAGTGTGTGTCGCCTCTCTTTGTTCCTGCCCCACTGGGGACCGAATCAGGTTTTTAGAGTTCGGCAGAGCCGTACTCTTACCATCTGACCTGAAAGACAGCTCGCCATACAAACTAATCGGCTTCGTTAAGAAACTGGGTTTATTTGGTCGAGTGTGAATAGATGGACCTAACCTAACCTGACCCATTCATCCAGAAATGGGCCTGAAAATGATTTTTCGATGAAAATTAGGGTCAGTTGCCAACTGCTCCAAAGCCCATTCAGCGAACACACGTCGATGTCTACGGTCATTTATGTTCAGTTCCTGGGTCAGTTGAATTTTGTACTGGTGAACACACAAGTCACGACGCAAAATTCGCGAAACAAGTTGTAGTTTACGAAAAGATGAGTTCTTTTGACCGTAAAAGGGGCGAAACGCGCAGTATGCTAGATCCATCCATGGATGGGGATTTGACAAAACAGACTGAATAAATTACAACTGATTTGACAGATGTAACTTCAACAAGATGGCTGTTATCAATTGTCAAAGTTTGGATCTCCCTGTTGGAAGACACTTCAGTAGTTAATTCAAAAAAAGTTTGAATTGCGTTTTGAAAATCTGGAAACTTCTTATTTTGATCCAAAAACAAACTCATGATTTTTTTCAGCTATCCATCTTGTAGTGGGTCATTAGCTCCTGGTTTAGCTGCAGATATGCATTTTCTATCAGACGTAATAGCCTTCGTGGGACCGGCTTGTCTTTTCGCACTGGAACCAGTTGCAAGGCTTGCTGCCTATTGGAATACACCGATCATAACTGGAATGGGGGATCAAGTGAGTATTTCAACAAAGATGAGTCACATACAAGCAGGTTGTTGTTTTTCAGCCTCCATCGGAAGGCGAAATTTCGGTTACATCGAGAATCCTCAGGAGGTATAATGCGAAAAACAAAAGTAATACTGCGGTAAGTTTTTAGAAATTGTCTCCGTGAGTTGTGTACAACTTTCTGTAATAATTTAGCTTTTCTACATCACCTTATATATGACCTGATTTTTCAATTTTGATAGTTTTTATTATAGTATATATGTGGAAAATAAAGTTTTTGGTTCAGTTACTATATACTATTCTGTTGAAAAATGAGGTGAATTATCTATTTTGTCCCCTTCGAAGTAGCCCCCTCAGATAAAATACACTCGTGCCAGAGTTTTTTCTAATCCTCGAAGCAATTCTGCTTCTGCTCAGCGATTCGTCTTTCATCACCTCAATTGTCGCAAAACACCGTTCTTTCATGGGTCTCTTCAATCCTGGGAACAGGAAAAAGTCGTAGGGGGTTAAATCTGGTGAATATAGTGGCTGCGGCATGATTACGGTGTTGTTTGTTGTCTTCGTTTTGCTTCTCGCAAGCGGCGTATAACTTCAAGATAATACTCCTTATTGACCGTAGGACCATGTGGCAAGGACTACGCTACGGTAATCGATGTGATAACAATATTAGTCTAGTACATTGTTTATAAGCAATTCGAATTTTTTTTGCATTATGTTAATTGAAAAAAATCATGATTAAAAAAATGGTTCCTTAAAAAAATGTCTTTGTTGCTAAAAACTTCGTTTGTTAATTAACGATCGTTTTTTGTGACTAAATATTAAAATTAAGGTTTTGAACTTTTTTCATTCTTTTTTTATACTAAAGTGGTACATGCATCGTGAAGCCGAAATAGAAACTGAACATATTCGGCTTATCAAGGCTGCTGCGGAATTAGTTCGAAAGCAAATCAAGGGTACCAAATACAATAATAAAAGCTATCCATCTGCTGTGAGATTTTTGGATTATATCATCGAAAATATACCTGAGTATCTAAAAATCTTTTTAGATGAAGTTATAATGTTTAATGCTATTCTGAGACAAAAAAGAAAAGTTGCTTATGATAAGAGAAAATCCAGGAGCTCGCTTGATAATGTTACCATCAATGACAGTGTTCTAGATGATGTTTCTTCCATTGGCACTTCTACCGCAGGGTCTTGTGAAACTTTTGGTGAAAATGAGGAGATATAACGGATATATTTAATTCGAAAATGCGGTTCTAAGACTCTTATTAACATTCTAGCGAAGTTAGGCGTTTGTTCTTCATATCATAGCGTTGCTCTACATTAAATTTCTGCGATCAAGTCTAATGTCATCAAAATAGAACCTAGTGCGTTCCTCCAATACGTGTTTGATAATGCAGACCACAATCCATCGACTTTAGATGGAATAAACAGTTTTCATTGCATGAGTGGCATTTGTTGCGTTACACCTTACACAGCTTTAACTACCTTTGGAGAGGTAGCTAAATTAGATCGGTTACCTACTGCAGTTGAAAACTCAGAAGAGGGGAAAATAAATATAGAGCAATTGCCAACTAATCAATTTTCTTTAGAATCCATTGAGTTCGATATTGGAAGCTTAAAATTTGGCGATTTCACTACTGATATTCCTGTTAGCTATTCGACTCACATTCGGGGAAGCTATTTGCAAGTAAATTTACCCGAAATAAGGGGTTTTATGGAACGGGTTTCATCATCAATGCCTTATACAGTTTCTCGCATACAGTACCTACCGTTTATTGAAGACAATCCATCAGATTTACGAACTGTCTATAGCTACTTTCATCACAGAATGGAGTATTGACAAAAAAAAATTAAAAAATGTATTTGTTTGAAACAATTTTTTTTAAATAAACAATTAAAAAAATAATTTAATTTTTTTTAAACCTTGAACAATAGAATTTATGATTAAAAAAAACGGTTCCTTAATTTCAATATTTAGTCAAAAAACGATTGTTACTCAACAAACGCATTTTTAGCAACAAATAATTTTTTTAAGACACCATTTTTAACATAATCCAAAAAAAAAATTCGAATTGGTAATGAACAATGTATTTGTTTATAATAAATTTATTAACAATAGCAGTAAACACAAATATTATATTATTAACTAGTTTTTAACCATGAGATATTGAAACAATGAAAATAAAAAAAAATATGTATTTTTTTCACTTATAATNGATACTTGTCTTTTTCATCCGCTCCTCCACTTTTATAATTATAATAACTTTTGAAGTATTGCAGATATGACAAATATGCTTCAAGCCTTTTTTGTTAATTATGAATTTATTGTTAATTCAAGCCTTTTACTAAAGTGGTACATGCATCGTGAAGCCGAAATAGAAACTGAACATATTCGGCTTATCAAGGCTGCTGCGGAATTAGTTCGAAAGCAAATCAAGTGTACCAAATACACGCCCGAAGAAGTCATTGTATGGCGAAACACGTGTAGCGTTTTTGTAAAACTGTTTAGTGAAAATCACACAATGAAGTGTTTTTTAAATACGTTTAAAAAAAATATGATGTAGTTTGGAATTGTAGGATGATGAAGGTAAGAAAGTACACTGTCTGCCAAAAGAGAGATTCCTTGATATAATTTTGACGTGTCCCACATTTTCTGGCTACAGAATATATTAACAAAGAGTTTGAAAGTGAACTATTTTCGTTGGGACTCCAGTATATTTATAAACAATTTTTCAATATCTAATAGTTTCGTAAAGATGGAAGGCATAGCGGAATATTTTTAAAATGTTATAAAACGAGTATTTTTTCAATCATTTCTTGACAAATTCACATCCGAAATTTCGAGTTTGAACTCGAAACTTTGATATTATTCCCAAAATTTCGAGATTAAAGTCGTAAAGTCGAATTTTCGAAATTTGAGTACAAAATCCAAGGTTGAAGTTGAAATTCCGAAATTTTGACTTTTTGAAGTTGTTTTATCGGTTGAAAATGAGTGAATTGTTATATACATGTTTTTCATTCTTTGGGCAGTGAAGAATTGTTTTGTGAATATGAACTGCACAAATTCCTTAGCAATGCGAAGAAAACATCCGGTATTGTGGGAAAACAATTCAAAACTTTAACGTCACGATAATGCACCTGCTCATTCGTCATTGCTTGTTCGTAACTTTTTGCCAAAAACAACATCGTAATCATTGCTCAGCCACCGTATTCACCAGATTTTCCCACCTGCGACTTTTTATTATTCCCAAGATTGAAGAGAACGTTGTTCGACGATTGAGGAGATAAAAACCGAATCGCTCAGAGTGGTGAAGAACTTACCAAAAACTGGCACGAGTTTATTATATGTGAGGGGGCTACTTTGAAGAGGACAAAATAGAAATTGATGAGTAAATGAATTTCTTTGAGAAAAATGAGAATTCACTTAATTTTTTGAACCGACCTCGTATGTGTCCATCTCTTCAAAATATACTTTTTTTAAATGTATTCCATTGGCTATAATATTCCCCTTCAATATATTTATTTAACCCTCGAGTAACTTACAATTGACGTACGTTCTGAAAGTTATGTTTCGGAATTCTATATAGTAATCAACAGAACGGTCACGTGATGATATCATTATCAGAGTTCGCATTTGTTTCGAACTTCATTTGCTTAATCGTTGTTGCGTTAATCAACGTACCACCAAATGACACGAACGCACTCAACTTGATTGTGCTTCCTGTTTGATTAAGTATGCGATTAACTCCGGAAATACGTTCTATTAACATTTTTTCTTGCTGATTGAAATAATGTAAACAAAAGTAGCAATTTTCCGTGGAAACTTCATCTAGCCATGATTCACTTACTTTGTAATTTATTCCGGAGATATGTGCTACAGTCAACTGATGATAATAATATACTCATTTGTTGATAGAGAAAATCGGTGCTCTGTTTTAGAGCTCTGATTTGAAATCAAGTCCAGTCAAGTCAAAATATGCTTTAATGTCTGAAGTTTGACAAATTGTTGACATGTTCAGCTAGAGCACATCTTTCAGGATGGTGTCTACAATCACTTTTGTGAGAGGTTATTCTGGAGCTTAAAGTTCTTGACGTTTGACCAACATAGTTTTTGTTGCACGATTGGCATGGAATAGGTACTATATATCACATTCGTTCGAGAAGTGAAGGAGGGTTCATCTTCAACTTTGGTGAATAAAGTTCTAATTGTGAGAACTGCTTTGGTGGCTATTTTAATGTTAGGTAATTCGTTGAAAATTCTAGAGAGTTTGGGAGTGATCACCCTAATGAAGGGTAAAGTACTGTGAAAAACTTGAGTTGGAGCAATATTATTTTCATTGTTTCCAATTATATTTGGGTTTGGTAGAGAAGTTGTAGTAATGTCTGATATGGATAAGGAATTAAACAAAATATTTTTCAACATACTTAAAGGGTATGAGTTATCAAGAAAAAGTTTAAGCAAAATATCAAGATTTTTTTTGTGAAATTGGATGTCAGAGATTTTCAACACTCTATTTTTCATTTGTTTCACTAGATTCACTTTTATCGAGTATTTTTGATATGACCAGTAGTTAATATATCTTCCTGAGCTACAAGGTTCTCTGTACCAATCTATCTATTTATACCAACAACAATATTCTGATACACTTTACACTTTACAACACTTTAGGAAAATAGCCAGTAATAAAGTATCTTTAAAATTTCCAACTGTATTGATAGTCAGGCACAAATCAATCAATCGATGAATCATGCTATTGTCCAAGAAATCCTTATTGACAAAGCTAGTGAAACTTTATGAAGTCATCTAAAAAATAAAATTGTTCAGGCCAGTCTCAACTCCCTATACTGTAGGTTAATGGACTGACACCTACCAGATAACAACTACTCCCCTGGCTAATACCACGAAGGGCGTTGGATTATATCTGACAGGTGTCAGTGCAGAATTCTTCACTGAAGTTATTCGTGCATATGCTGTTGGCGATACAACTGCCGCAATAGATTTTTAATTATTTGAACACACTTGCAGACCGGTTTCGGGCTGTTTGGCCACTCGTCAGTGCAAGGTAGTGTCTATCATCAACATAAAGTCGATGATTTACGATAATTGAAAATCGAATTCCTTCAAAGTGTCATTCCTCGAAATAGGCTGAAGCGGACAACAAAACAACAGATTTGTCATCGCGCCATCTGCCTGTGAACCAGGTAACCAACCGCATATCCGAAATTTGCCCAATTCCTCGTATAAGGAAAGAAATGTGAAGCACTGATTTCATCAAATCAGATATGGTTTCAAATAGAACTATCTTACTTTCTAATACACAAGAACTTGAAATTTGCCCCAATGACTCCTGAATGGTCATGAAATCGAAACTTACTCCCATATCGATACAAAACTTTCTCCAGTATGTTGAGGGAAAGCTTACACTACGATGAAATATTTCCAAGATCCTGTATTTCTTTCATATTTATTAGAATGATCCTTCAGTAGGTTTACGTCAATAACCAGGAATATAATTTTTCACTAAATTCTCTGTATCATATCAATACAGTACTATTTTATTGTATATTTCAGGGAATATTGAACGATAAAAGCAAATATCCCACTTTGACAAGAATGTCCTACTGCCAATGTAGATTGACGAAAGTGTTTGCCAGTATATTCAAACAATTTTCTTGGAAACATATAGCTCTGATTTTGGATAGATCGGACCTTTTTTCACTCACTGTAGGTAAGTTTCGTTTTATAGGTAAAAACAGAATTATTTCGTTTGTTTGAAGGTGGTTGACAATGTTTCATGGTGTATTTCATCAGTTCGGACTTCCATTGTCTGATATAATATAAATTGATTTGAAATCCCTAAAAAATAATTTTAAAAGATTAACCTAAAATAACAATTTTATTAAACAAATAAATTGAAATTACAAAGAAATAACATACAAGCNAAAAAATAAATCAAGACTATGTAATCTTAACAACATTAGTTGGATAGACCTAGGCTTTTGTTAAAATACCTATATTCTTTGATATAAAAAGTTTATAGTAATAATACATCATTTTTTATTCACTAGGTATAATGGCTAATGAGTCATTTTACCAGAGCTCATATAAATGTGAAAAATGTATGAATACACTCATCCGTTACTTGATGAAAATTGATAACAATATCCATGTGTCAAAAGTTATGTCCGTTTTTATGAGTGTACTTCAAACTGTAATATCTCAGTGGTTACTTATTCAATTTAATGGGTATAAGAACCATTTGAATCAGTGCATTTTTTGTGAAAATAACACAAATCTATTCATTCCGTCATCATAAAAATTGTGTGTTCGGGATTCGATAAAGTCGATAAAGGCCGTTTTGCCTGTTCCAGATTGGCGAAGGTTCTACCGGTGAGAAAGTTATCGAAGTGCTTGAAAAGACGGTAGGCGGGGGTCTTGAAATCTGGGGAGTTTGGTGAGTGAGGCAGAACTTCGACGCTCAAATCCTTTAATTTTCGGACTGTGATGTGTGGAACGTGCGGACGAGCGTTGTCGTGGAGCAGGATCGGGCCTCTTCTGTTGACCAGTACCGACTCCTGATGATGCAATTTTCGATACATTTCGTCGATTTTCTCACAATAGGACTCTGCTGTGATGGTTTGGCAGTAACCACGGTCTTTTTTTATGGGTTCTCGCCTTTGGTGGCTCACCGGTGTCAAACCACTGTACTGAACGTCTCATATTATCGTAGAGGTTCCACTTTTCATCACACGTGACGATACGATGCAAGAAAGGATCGTTTTGGTTGCGCAAAAACAACGTGACAATTTCTGTCGATCGTTCAAATCGTGGGGCACCCACTTTTAGAACTTCTTGATGAATTCCAATACGTTTTATACCATTAAAAACCGCATGGGAGCTGACGCTCAGTTCTTTCGCCATCCCACGCGCGTTTGTGATGGGTCAGACCCATCAGGGTCCTCAAATCCTCGTCCTGGACTTCGCAAAATTAGATGAATGATTAATTCTAGTGAAACAGGTGTAGTTGTTTTTTTCAAAATTTACCTGTTTTCACAGAATAATAGATACATATATCAAATTAACTCTTAGGAAATCTCGTTTTGTTATATCCAGTAATGTAATCGAATTCGTGCATTTTATTGATTCTGAAGTAAGTATATTTGAAATCAAAGAAAAAATATTACTGTAACATCTGCATAAAAATAATGTTTGCTTTATTGCGAAAAAAAATCAGAACTGTGGATATTACAATGAAGTTACGAGAATACCTAGTTTCCTAAGTACTCCTTTAAATAAAAGGTGTTTAGTTTACAATTTCACAATTACCAGAAATTATCTCATTAATGAGATAAGAGGAGAAAATATAATAATAGCGGGTTTAAGCAACAAATACACTTCCAAAAACTAAGAACTGAGAGTTCGGCCATAAATCAACGAGACTATTCTTGAAAATTCGAACTAGGCCTAATTAATAAAAGCTAGGTCAAAACTAGAATTTAACATGCACCAAATTGAAATATTTAGCTAGAGCTATCATTGACTGAGAAATTTCAAAACGTTTATATTGTGTCACTAAATATTCTGGCAATATCTTGAATTCATTGGAGCCTCCGGACACCCAATATTTTATTCTATGAATGAGGGGACATCAAGATTTTCAGATGATGTGGTGCTGCTGGTTTTTCCGGGTTATATGTTATTATTATTGTACTGGAAAAAATGAATAATAATGGGGTTTGAAGGTGTTCATATGGAACTGTTTTCAGTAACGACTTAGTAGGTATAGCGAAATAAACGGGACACTCTTCTTAAGTTTACTTTAAGTTACTAGTTATTGCGTTTAGTCCTTAGGTATTGTTATATAAACCCGCTATAATACGACCTGTTTCACCAAATGCTAACTTTGAAGAAACATAACACCAAGAAAACACCAAACCATCACATGGGAATTTCCAAAACGATACTGACTGAAATAACTTCATTCTCTTTCATAGCCATGGACAAAGTGTCAATTTGCATTTTTATATATCGTTTACCTCAAAACTGGTTGTATTTCATTGAGAAATCCATGTAAATAGGATAGTAGATTGTGCCGCAATTAAAACTATTACTGATCAAGTTAATATGACGAGGTGGCCGAGTGGTTAAGGCGTTGGACTGCTAATCCAATGGGCTCTGCCCGCGTGGGTTCGAATCCCATCCTCGTCGAATTCACTTTTTTATTTTTTTTGCTTTCAAAAAAATTAATAGCGTGATTTCATGATCATATTATTTATTGAACAAAAATCTATTTTTGTGGAGGAAATCAGGCTTTTTTTATTTAACTTATACCAGAATTGAAAAAGAAAAATTTGAAAAGAAGAAGATTGAAAAGACAGTTTAATATTTTGGGAAAAAAGGGTGATTAAGAGAGTAGAAGATCACATGATTCAAATAGTAATATAGATCACTAATTAGGTAGAATTAAATCAGTATGAATACACCTAAGGAAGGTATTGTAATATCGAGACAATTGTTGCGGTTTTGTAAACTGTTCAGTGAAAATTTGATAAAAAAGTGTTACTTGAATTACTTTACCTTTATTATGAAGAGGTCCGTCATTTTCGTACAAATCCCAGTACTCTATCTTCTCATCATATGTTTCCATTGGCTCAATTCAATTCTGATTAGATTCTGAAGTGTAAAGTGTTGAATACAATATATTTGCTTTAAAAAAATATGTTTTTCCGTTAACCGTTAACACCCACTTATTTCGAAATCTATTCGGTTAAAAATTATGCATAATATTTATAAGGAAGGTTATCTACAGTCACAGGGTGCTTCTCTACAGCAAAAAAAGAAAAATCAGAAATAATATTATGTAACCTAATTATATTAAATTAACTGAGTTCCATCCAATTCGTAATGTCTTAGTCTTAACGCAGATACCATTTTCAAAAATGTTCAATGGTAGGTACATAATAAATATTTTGAAGTAACTTCATGGTTTTGAAACTACTTTTGAAATGATTGAATATCAACTACTATTTTTTTTTCTCTGAAGAGATGTTTATTCAAAAGTTTCAATCAATTATTTTTTTTAGTTCAGAATTCAAAGTGTCCTTACTAGCAAAATGTTAATAATTGGGTATTATAGCTGCATACGTATTACGATTTTGACAATTGCCAAAATTGCATCTCAACGATGATAGACTCAAAATGCAAAATGATGTGAAAAAATAAAATTTTCTTATTTCTTTACCCTACCTAGCATACAATTGTTCAAAGTATATCCTTCGTTAACAAAATAATTACTTGAAGTAGGTAGATCAAAATGAACAAAATATCATATCAAAAAATAATCATTAAACTTCATAGGAAAAAAATTCGTATGCCACTGTATGTTTCGATAAACCTGTATAAATAAACATTGTGCCAGTTATTTCATTCCAAAAACTAAATATGTGATCATTTTTTCACTATTATTGTTTTGTTTTTGTTAATTCCAATTATCCAATTACGTCGCCTTTGGTAGTGGACTACCCTGTAGCTGTAATAAATATCAAGGGTAATTAAATGCCTATGTAATGTTCAGAGTTGAATCGAAAAAAAATGTTGATGTAATTATTACGTTTTCAAAAAAAAGATACAAAAAGTAATGAAGATACATTTGAACACCCCGTATCTCGAAAACTAATCATATGACTGAGTTGAGCCCATGAACATATCCCATCTTTTACATTTATCTTCAATGTACCTAGATACTTCTTTGTTATAATTCATTGCTGTTGAAATAATTGTTAGTTGGTTAATTTGGTTACTCTTACTTATACTACCTACTATTAATGAATACATCGTTCAAATTGAATTGCTCACTCATTTAATTGTGGAAGTTGAGTATTTCAATGGAAAAGTTTCTATAGCAAATTTCATCTCATAATATGTATGTCAGGATGGCCGAGCGGTCTAAGGCGCCAGACTCAAGGATATCCTTGCCTACGAGAGTAGGTTAGAGCGTTCTGGTCCACTTTGTGGGCGTGGGTTCGAATCCCACTTCTGACATATCTTTTACTTTTTTTAATCATGTATTCAAATTTTTGTGAGCATATTTGTGTGTGATTCAGATAAGAACTATATCTATTAATACATTTTTTAAGTTTCTCAATATCTTACTGTAGTTGGAACCTCTGGTGTAGAATAAACCCAACACAAACATTGTTCCCATACTATCCATGACAATAATTATTCAATTTTCACACTACAATTTCCATTTAGGATGCTTTTCGCTACACAGTAGCTTCATCAGTTGGACTGATACATCACACTATTCTACAATGTCTTTTATATAAGAGTAGGTAATTACAAATCTTGATAAAATGAATGATTATTTCTGGTAAAACAGGTAAAATACCAAACCGTTATTGTAACACCTCGACACGTGTTTCGATCACCAAGTGTTCATCTTCAAGAGGAAGATTAAACTGTTTAAACTGTTAAATACTGTTTAAATTAAACATCACTTAGTGATCAGCTTCGAAATTAAAATATTCAATTCAAACTGTTTTAAACAGTTTAGTCTTCCTCTTGAAGATGATCACCAAGTGATGTTTAATTTAAACAGTTTAAACTACAGGTACCTACCTAGATTGTGAAAAAATATCACAATACAATATTACTTCTAGGAAAAGGTTATTTATGAATACGTTGATTATTGGCATCCCATGCCCCAGCTTAATTAAAATGATTAATTCTGACAAAGCAGATAGATTTTGAAAAAAATACTTCTATGAAAACAGGTGATATTATATTGTGATGGATTTCACAAAATCTACCTGGTTTGTCATAATTAATCCTTTATCTAATGATACTTTGCCATAAAATGCTAATAATTAACATTTTAACTTATTCGGTTGTTTAAAAAGTTTTGTCCGTTTTAACGCTATGTGTTTTTGAAGCTCCATATCTCAAAAAATATTTATTCTACTGTTTCAACTTGTGATGCACTATTTGAAACCTTTGGTGTAGTAATGAATATTACTGAAGTTTTTTCCTAACACCAAACCGTTATTGTAACACCTCGACACGTGTTTCGATCACCAAGTGATCATCTGTTTAAATTAAACATCACTTGGTGATCGAAACACGTGTCGAAGTGTTAAAATAACGGTTTGGTGTTGGGAAAAACTCCAGTAGTATTTGTCAAGGTATAGTCTATAAGAAGTCAATCCGAACAACTAAATAAAAGACTAATCTAACCATATAAAACCTCCCATATAAAAATAATGATTAGACCTCGTAAGCATACCACGCCGCCCATACAAAGAAACTGCCGGCGTTTGGTAACTATATACTATATATACTGATCGATAAAGATTTTTTTACTCTACGAAATGATGCTGTTCACTGTTTTCAGATTTAAATTTTTTGCCTGTTTTTAGCCTATTACTATATAATGTCGTTGAGCGATTTTCGGCCAATTTTTCTCAACAAGTTCAAACTGAACCAAAGCGCTGCCTGAAAAATTAACTAGGCATTTAGCATTGATAGTAATAATGAACGCAAGGTTCGACGTTGGTTTGCAAAATTTCGTTCACAAATAAAAATTATAATGTGAAAAATGTATAATCATTATTACGGATAGTATTATCAATTTTCATCAAGTAACGGGTAGGTGTATAATTGCTTCCATATACCTACCAGAACTGCTACACTATACTCTATGCACTTTTCACCAACCAAGTTCATCAAGAAATTAATAGAACTGTCCTGAACTTGATTTATTAAAGAGAAGTGTATTGCAGTTATGGTGTATGGAAGTATTGTTTGTATGTGTCGGATACTAATAATTGAAACAACTGAACAGTCTGAGAGCCGGCATTACCAAACTCAAAATGACAAAAATATTGAAAAAGAAATCAATTACATAAAATGATTACGAATTATTTTGATGAATTGTTGAAAATAAAACTAAAAAATGTGCCCCGGGTGAGGATCGAACTCACGACCTTAAGATTATGAGACTTACGCGCTGCCTACTGCGCTACCGAGGCCATGTCTATAGAAGTAAATTTTTATCTCGAAACGTATGTGATATTTATATTCATTTATTTCAGGAAAAATTCTAGAGCAAGGTTTGAAAAAAGGTGGAATGCTAGCATTCCAGAAGGAATTGGACGGCAATGAGAATGAATACCTGGATAATTACTTACGAGACGCAAGTATGTATGCATTTTCAGAAAAAAAAATACTAAACAAAATTAAATATTATTGATGATTTTCCACATGTCTCATTTTCATCTTCTTAAACTTCATACTTGAAGAAATGAAACTGATCTTCACAATATATTCAATAGTCAACAATTATTGATGAAAAACTAATGAATAAAACATTACACAGAATTTTAATTTTCCATTATTAGGAACCTTTACAGTGAGTCGTGGAGCTTACGGAAACAAATTCAAAAGCTCTTCATTTTTCGAAATCAAATCGAGAAATAAGCGACTTCAACACTAATCTCCATGTAGGTAATAGTAGAGACATTACATGAATCTGTAACACACGTTTTCAAGACAAAACAAACCAAGAGAAAAATCTACGTCACCGTCTTCTAAAATCATAGGCAAGAAATATCAGTTTCATCTAGCATATTTGTTAAATCCAATTGCCTTGACAATATTTACATTTCACCTATTTTAACGTTATGAATGTTGATAAAGAACTCACCTAGCAATTTCCAAATAACATGTCCCCAAACGATGAGTCAGAATACCACCTAAATAAATCATTAGTTCAGTTTTCGAAAGTATATTTTCCAGCAAGTTCTTTACCTTACTAATGTCGAGTATATCAAATTCTGCATCATGAATTCCACTCAGACGCCGAAACAATTTGAAATACACCAGACACCACCATTTTCAACTTGAGAACATAAGACTGTCGGTTATGATGTCACTTTGCACATCAGACTGTTTGGCGCCGATTGACACTTCAAACATGCTTTATTTGTTTGTTGTCTCTATTCATCCAAAATCATAAGACAGTTGTAGCATGAACATATTTAAACGACATTGTGTTCAGTGCATAATAGTGTGGTTACTGAAACAATTTGAAAGTAGAACCAAAACAAGCTGTGACGATATGCCAAAAAACGCGGTTACGCTGAGTTCAGGTGATTATCTAGAGAAAGTTTTGACATGGTGTTAGGACTGGTTAATGAAAACAATGCATTTTCAAGTAGGTATTTTTAACGAGTGTACTTCCTACTCTGCAAGTATTTGAAATGTAATGAATATATTCATAAAAACAAACGCGCGCGATAGTTTAAATTTTGTGATATCTCTCAAGAAATTAATTAAAAAAAGGGGGTGGCAATTATAAAGTAGGTACGTATTGTATCATATCCATCAAAATAGCTTTCCAATAACCACATTTTTTTTAAATATCAAAATGGCTATTGTGAATTACCTATCTAATAGACATGTCATATGAGAATTTTCTCTAGACCTACTTCTAGCAAGATGAATATCGTCTGAAAAGAGGAGGAAAAACGGATAAGATATCGAGATGTTCTCTTCGAACTCCACAGACTCCATCCAGACTACTCTGTCAAGACGGTTGTTTCGATTATTTAAGTCCTTGGTGGAATGATGCCTACTCTTTTCTCGAGTCTCGAGGTCATGCCGGCTTGCCGTACTAAGGCAGAAATCTCAGCCGGACAAATACAGAAGGCTGTCATTCTTGACACACTGCGCTTGCTTAGGGCACATCATTCTCGGACCCAATGATCACTCACCCCACAGTGTGGGGAGTGGTCATTGGTTAATAATGCTGGCGCGTCCTCCCGAGTGTATCGGGGCTTCGGGGGCACATCTGTATTTCATTCTGGATATTTGTATTTTACACTGTATTAAAATTGTGGGGGATGACATTGTATTTTCTTTCATGAAAAGCTAGTCGATATCAATCAATTTTCTTTAACTACTTTAATTAATACAGAGTGTGGTCATGGATTTCACCATTTATTATTATTGAAAATGTAATGTTGATTCTTTTCATTTCAGTGGTAATCTTGTGTGTCAGAGGTTCTCTAGTAAGGAAATTCATGTTAGTTGCTCATGAATTAGGAATGACTAGAGGAGACTGGACATTTTTGGATGTTGAAATTTTTCAGGTAAGTAACCCGGAAATATCGGACTATTTGTTAGACACCGGCCGTGAAAGCCTACACACCGTAAACAATATTTGTATTATAACTTGAAAAAGTTTCGTTTCCTGATGAATTACAATGTTAGCAAATACTGCATATCAACTTTCTCGTTTCTGTTATGAACATGTGGCATTTTCAGCTTGTTTTTGTTACTAATACGATCTCCAACAACTAACAATAATTATTTATCGAAACTCCAAAAGTTGTTTTTTGTTTCATAACAACTTTTCCGACATCCCACGAAAAAGTCTGAAGGGGTTAAGTCGGGTGATCTTGCAGGTCACCTAATAGAAACATGTGTTCCAATCCATTATTCAAATATCAACTATGGGATATTATTGTTATCGGAAAAGTATGTAGATTTCCGAAAAGAGCGGAAGTTGAAAAAAAAAATCCAGTTTCGTCAAAAAGTGCTACTTTGTGGGCATATTCAATGTTTCAAAATTCGTAAAAATAGCCAAAGAAATTAAAAAGAAATGTTGGTAGACATACCGGGGCGGAAACCATGTTGTTGTTCGCTTACAATTTTAAATTTGTTCAAGAAGTTCTCTAATCTATTAAGAAAAGCATATTCTAATATTTTGTAAAACCTACTTGGAATAGTAACTGGTCGATAATTACTGAGGAGTGGAGTATCATTCCTGTTTAGAATGACAAATTTACTAAATAGGTCATCGGAATGATAATATAAGGTAAGTTCGGGATTTCGTCGGACCCAGCTGATTTTTTATTTTTTATTTTGTTATGTAGAAGGATTTGAATTTCCGGATTTGAATATCCTCTGATGAAAGGGAGTCCAAGTATAGGTAGTGTATATGTTGAAAATTATCTTTTCAGTCGCGTGTGAGTTCGTAGGAGGAATTTTATTGATCGATTCCAGACGGGCGCAGAAGTAAAAAAATCGTTGAAAATATTCGCAATTTTTTGGGGGTCTTTATGAACAACAAATTTTTTTATTATTTCAATATTATCGGTCTTTGCTTTGGACTTATTTGTAACCTCTGATATCATTCTCCATGCTGTTCGGGTTTTGTTGTTAGATTTTGTTATAGAATTTTGGTAATAGGCCTTTTTTGTATTTTAACGAGTTCTTCTTTATAAATATTGTCATAACCAATTGCACATTTTCGCAAAGAGTATAGATGTTTTAAATGGTAACTTGATAATTTGATGTTATCATCTACCCAGTGTTTTTTTTGAGTTATTAGAGCAATACCTGTGTAAGGGGAAAAATCATTGGAGTGGTGAAAAAACAATGAGAGAATGCATCATCTACATTAACTACAAAAAAAACATCTGAAGTTCTAGCAAGGCCTCATTGATAGCGATATCAAAAGGAGCCTCTAGTACCTAGTTGATGGTCTCATTTCTCACCAAAAATTAATATTACAAACTGAGGGATTTGAGGTCAAAGTATGTTTAGCATCTATATCACATTCCGATGAAAACGTTTACAAAAATAATATAAAAAATGATACATAATCGATAATCTGAATGATTATTTCTTGCAATTCTTTCACGCGTTCTTTTTTAACACTTGAATCACTGTCTTATTGTGTCTTACAGGGTTCTTATTGGGGTGAACATGACTGGAAAGCTGGAGATACTGAAGATTCCTCTGCGAGAAAAGCATATGAAGCTCTACTCCGTGTTTCTTTGCTCCAACCGACAAACGACAAATTTCAAGATTTTGCTGATAAGGTGAAACAGAGATCATCTGACGATTACAATTATACGATAAGCGAAGGCGAGGAGGTGAATATACTCATTTGATATTTGAAAGTGAGTTGTTTCCCATAACCTTGTACAGTGTGGAAACTATTTACAGATCAACTTCGTCATCGGAGCTTTTTATGATGGGGTTTATTTATTGGGAATGGCACTGAATGAAACTCTTTTCGAAGGAGGAGACATCAGAGATGGTAGAGGTATAACGGCCAGAATGTGGTACAGGGATTTTTTAGGTAAGATTTTGTTTCAGAAGCGATACTTCTAGAAGCATTCATTTGAATTTTTCATTGTCTATACCGATGTTATACTCTATAGTATAACAAATTTTAATTGAAGGTGACTCATATACAAATTGAACTGAGAGCTAACGGCAACAATGTTAAATGTTAGAACTAAATTCTTACCGGCGTCATTTTTATTGTCTGTGCATTGTAAATAATTAAAAAGTAAGATGATTCCATGAAATTTGCCCCCGTAACAAGATAGCTTCTGCATATCGATAGGATGTTCGAGCGACATGGACGCCCAACGCTTTGGAGGATGGTTTGAATCCCTTCTTTCACGAGTCGAGCCAAATTCGGTATTAGTAATGGATAACGCTTCTTATCATAGCCGATTAGTAGAACAGCGGCCAACTATGACCACCAGAAAAGCAGACATGCAGAGTTGGTTAGGTTAGGTTAGGTTAGAAAAGCAGACATGCAGAGTTGGTTAGGACAAAAAGGAATTCTATTTTCCGAGAAAATGGTTAAGGCCGAGCTCATGAGTGTCATTAAACAGCATCGGGACAGATATCGCCAGCATGTGGTGGATACAATAGCTCGTGCTGAAGGCATCACCATTTCGAGACTTTCTCCTTATCATTGCGAGTTCAACCCGATAGAATTATTCTAGGCTCAAATTAAGGGCTACGTAGGTCGTGAAAACGTGACATATAAAAGTTCTGATGTCCAACGTTTAGAACTCGCAATGGAACGGATACGGAAAGAAGATTGGGCTAATGCTGTAGCCCATGTGATCAAGGAAGAAAAGATAATGTGGAGATTGGACGGGATGGTAGACACTGTTTTCGACCAAATAATAATAGATTTAAGTGTGACTGGGGATTCCTCTTCGGACGAGTCAATGGATTCTGAAACTTCATAAGCATAACATAGGTAACTATTTCTTTGCTTTGTAGTTATCTTTCTATATAAAAGGAACATAATAATTATTGTGTAAATTTTTCTGTTCATTTGAAGTACTGTATTAGGCATAATAAGAAAATGTAATCAGTTTTACCATTGGCACCAGGTAGCGCCACCTACTATTACAATTTTTACGTAATTACCTATGTGTTTAAATAAATAAAAATATTATTTTGGTACGCCTTTTGGTACGTTTCAAAACCTTATTTCTAAGTATAACTCAAAAATAAAAACAAATTTTTAAACTCTGGAACATAATGTCGAATAAGTTATATTTATATTTACCATGAGCAAACAAATTAGTTCAATATTAAATTTGATGATTTACCATAAGGATGTTTTCAAAGTCTTAAACTTGCATGTTTTAATCCCCATAAGGTCTTGACATAATAAAAAGCAACCAGTAAGTCCCTTTCATCCATAAAATCACAAAGTTCTCGGTGACCTCGAAACGGAGTGCGGAGCCAATCTCGTTCTTTTGCCATAGGCGTGCACTCATATAAAAACGAAATTATAGAATATTTTGTGGTAAATTACTCATAACCAACTACAAAAATTAAAAACAATAATAAAAACAGCAAATAAACTAAAGACAATATCAATTTCCGACCGTCTATCATGACTAATCCGATGCCCGTGGTACCGTCCAATCCTTCGATACTACAGCACTGAACGCGTTGGATGAGAATCTCATCCTAAGAGTGGTTGGAGGTCCCCGGCAACTCGGTCGAATCACGTGGTAAGAAAGCCTACTGGTTGTAAATATTATTCTACTGCGGTTTCAGATTGTTTTTTTTTTGTACTGCTTCAAACATTTACTGAATTGAATTCTAGTGCATACACATGGTATTGATTCTTTTATCATATCTTCGGTTGAGTTTTTGATGTTTTGCAAATCATTTTTGTTTTCTGAAAAGAGGCAAACAAGTAATACAGTTACACTGTTCTTGCTTACAATAAACAAACTTTACGCTTTACGCCTCGAAAAATAGCACAAACGAGTTTAGTTTAGCTCTGAATATTTTTGAAAAATATGAATGTTTCCTAAATTGTATTTCAATAAATATTATTGAAAAAACTCAATAACATATTTACATTATTTATAAGTTGAAGCTTGCTGTTCTGAAGTGATAATACAGAACTTTTTTCATTTGTTTCACACCCCCTACAATGAATCATTATGATACTTATGGTTTGTATACTTTTTTCTACGGACGCATGCCACTTCTCTCATCGCTTTCATACGTTCAAAACTAAAGATTTCTCACGCAGTGAAAAATATCCGCCATTACAGTGAGAAATAATTTCTCACTGTTATCACGATAACCTAAGTCAGTCATGAACTGTTACGTGTCAGATTGATATGACACGTTCTCCATGTTGACAACGCTACGCCGACGATTCGCGTGGAATATCCAAGTAGCCCATTGTCGGCGTTTCCATAACAACAAAACCGAAGCACTGCATAATTATTGCTATCAACTCTACCAAATTTACAAAAAATATGTGGAGCTTCGACCGTGCACAAATGAAACACGTTTTTTTTTAAATTACAAAAGTAGCAAATGTACGAAACAGCTTGTGGGGATAAATAAATTAGGCACCGTGGCGAAGGAAATAGCGAAATTTTTGTAATTATCGAACCCTGAATTATATACTGGCCACTGTTTCCGAAGATCATCTGCGACTATTTTAGTTAATGCAGGGGCAGATCTTTTAACTTCAAAAGGAAATCCAGCAATGTTGCTAAATCTTATATCGACAACTCCAACCCTTTCAGCCTCCAGCACCATTAGAACCTGAACACAACAATGCTGTGGTACGTCAGTACGTTTCCCCATCAACTTCAACTTCGACCGCAGCTAATATTCAAATATTAGTTAATTACTTTACAAAATTGTTCAAATATAACTGTTAATTACTATTTTAATCACTAAATAAAATATAAAAATTAGTTAATGACATACAAGTATTATTTATATATGTATTTTAATATAATAACGCTTGATTTGCAACACTCACTCGCTTGATTTGCAACAAACTCCTGTGCTCGTGAGAAATATGTCGTATTTCTCACTTGTATAATATACTATTATTTGGTATTTTATGATGGACAACCTAATTAGTTTAATCGCTATTTTCATTTTGGCTCACACAAATTGAAGCAATAATACACGGTAACATGGCGGCGCATGCATTTCAAGACAATGGCACGTGGATATACACGAGTATTTTATTACGGTAACAAAATATCCTTCATTCACCTATAAATCTTGATGAAAGGGATTTCAAACCTCAATCGCTTGATAATTGTTCCATAATTATAAATTGTTTCCCTACATGCATACTTCTTCGACCTTCTATAAATGTCAATTCGCTTCATAAAAAGGTAAAAAAATTGGCCGTTTGGAATGGGATCCCTGTCACTGTTCATAGTTCATAGTTCATCCAAAAATCTACTGTCATGCACCGATCTTAACAATTTCAGACAGTTTTCATTTACTCTATGGTCGTTCTTCAGGGCGTGTGGAGCGAAACCAGGTTTTTCTGGTCTTCAACGTGTTCTTTGAAACGAGTTTTAATGGCTCGCCTAATCTGACTGATATATTTTTGTCACAGCTCCTCACGGCTTATTTCATATAACTCTGACTTTTCATTTTACAACATCTTGTCTCTAGGACTACCTAGCATTTGTTGAAGTGAACAAGATGTTTTGGAGGCTACTTTCACGTACAGCTTCAAAAAATACGATCTAATTCATTAGTGTATCTTTATTTATAGGCAAGGACAATAAACTTTGATTCTGTGTCTTTGAATCCCATATGTAAACTTCATCAATATCCTGAATAGAAACAAATTTTAGAGTTGAGAATTATTTTCCTTCATCTCCTGAAAACGCCAACTTGGTTAGTGAACAGCCAATCGAGAATAGTATATTGCAGTTCTGGTGTTTGGGAAAAGTGCTTATTTTGCATTTATATAACGCCAGAGTTTTCAGTTTTACCTTATATTCTGATAATAATTCCAAATAATAGGAAATAATGGGGAATAATAGGGAGGAACATTGAAAAATCATATATTCAAAATATGACCCGAAATGAAAATTAATATACCTGTTGCAATTATCATTTAAACTTTAAAGGAAAGTAATTGTGTGAGAAGTAGGCCCCCTTTATTCACCGCAATGTATTATTTTTTAGGAATAACAGGTCATGTTCGTATAGACGACAATGGTGATAGGGATGCCGACTATTCGATTTTGGACCTGGATCCAATAACGGGCAAATTCGAAGTCGTTGGCCACTACAATGGTTTGAACAAGAATTATTCTCCTGTTCCCGGAAAAAAGATACACTGGCCAGGAGGAAAAGAAGGTCCACCACCGGATGTACCTCGATGTGGATTCAAAGATAATAGCCCTGACTGTCAAAACAATGGTATTTATTGATCACTTTCCCAAAAAATTTGTTTGGGAATATGTATATTTAGTATTTCAAAGATTTTATTGTGGATCTTTCCCTTTCCCTTAGTTATACTGAATCTAAATTATTGTTTTTGTAAGAAACAAAAATCGGAAGTCCTTCTATATGCTATAAATTCTCTGAACCTTGACCGATTGACATGGAATTCAGGGATTAGTCAGGGAATGGATCAAAGAATGAAAGTAGGGTGGTTGCCACCCCTTCTAGGAGGTGAAAATATGTTCACGCAAAATATCCCAAAATAATGAAATGTTTCAAGGAAAAAATTCAAAGTGGTCTATGAAGTTTGTTAAAAAATTTAGATTTTTCGTGTTAAAATTGCATGTTTTGGACGGTTTTTCGCAAATAACTCAAAAACTTTCCGTTTCAAAAAGTTGTAATAACCAAAAATGAAGCTCATAACAAAATCAAAGAAATTTGTTTTCATTATTGCTATAAGTCCAAAATCGAAGGAGTTATGGCTCATTGAAGAGGACTTTTTTGCAACATCTTGGTTCGCATTATTCAACAAAACAGATTAACTTTTTTTAAATAACTTGTCGAACATTTTTTGAAGTAGATAAAGATCTTTAATATGAGCACTATTGAAAGTCGACTGCATTATAATTCAATTACGATGCAAAAACAGTGGACCAGTTAAATTATTAAAAAAAGAGTTAGAAAACTCCGGTCACTGACACCATCCCACCGGAAATGATATTAGGCATCATTTCTTAACATGTTTTTATTATTGGATTACTCATATGGATTAGAAAAAATATCTCATTTTCAAAAAAAATCTGAAACTATTACATATACGTTGAAATGGTATATTTCATAAGTGTAGACTTTGGATGTTTTTATTTATTTCGGTAGAAAAAAAAAATTGGAAAGTATCAATTGAATAAAAAGTAAAGGGGCATGAAAACGACATAGATGATCGTTGGAGTTTTAAAATCATTTCCCATTTTCAAAATCAGCTTTCTTTGTTTTCAATTGACTTCGACAGTAACCTGTAAATATCGTTCCAAGTCTATTATAGACTTTCCACTCTATTTTTACCTTGTACCCAAGTTCATCTAATCCTGATGATTTATCTGGATGGAAATATTGATCTCGCAGGCTGTTCATTGTGTTCGTTTCCTTGTGGATCCATATTTTGGTTGCTAACTTCCTTACTAAGAGAAGCTTTTTCGATGCTACCCTAGTAATTTTACGTATCGTGGTTTATTTGTTTATATACATTATATGACTTTTTGATGCATACATAGATATTTCGTGAAAGAATTATTCTACAGCTCGTCAAATCTATAGGTGAATTCTCTCTCTCTCTCTCTCTCTCTCTCTCTCACTCTCTAGTCTTTTAACGAAAGCACATCTAGTGGGAGGGACCATAACGGAATTCAGACAGCTCTTCCTACATTTGACAAGCTGTGATTGTTTGGTAAGAAAGTAATTAGCGTAAATTGTCAGAAACTAACTTGATTGGAACCTGTTGGATGTTATAATACAAAAGTAGACCTAATCGAAAAAACAGCATCTTTTTAGGCGAGATTTACTCCTGGCTAATAATTTCCATGAGAAAAATTTGATACCGACGTTTAAAAACTTCAACTTTTATTTCTTTTCTATGTATCAAAGTTGTACTGCCATCATTTTGAGATGTAAAGAAAAAGTAACTGATTTCATATGTGACAAACTTGAAAACTTAACCAAACCAAAGACATGATCATATTCAATGTTCATTTGAACTTATACTTTTCATGCTGCGTGGCAAGATTATATGATGGTACTTTACGGATCTTTCGCCTTTGGAGTTTTTATGGCGTTTTCTTTCACTCTAGTATGTGTTCGCATGTACAAGTAAGTAGTTTCTATTTTCCAACGTGCATATAGAGTGGTAAGTCCTTAAATTTCATTATCACTGGGGCATAATCGAATTAATCAAAATTCTGTTACGTTTTTCCCGTGGGTTTACCAATAATTGACTACACTGAACAACAATCAAACTCAACTTTATTTCACTTTGAATACAACAAACACTTCAACTATTATTCGAATGTCTCCTTAATAGATCGATTCGCGTACCGCACTGCCAATTCCATTTGACTGTCTCGATGGGCGAGTGGATGGCGCTTATATTTGGCAATCGAAGGTGCTGGAACATTCCTCGGAATTCCATCGAAGTCGGTAGCAGTATTCTCGCTACATCTAGAACGGCAGCGAACATCGTTACAATTGGTTTATGGCTACCAGTGGCAGCCGGCGTTATTTTCTTCAGGGCATGATTTACAACAATATGGTTATCTTGGAAAGGTTTCGGCTCTCTACTTCTCCGTCTCTATACAAAAAATGAGAATAACTTTCAAAGAAAGAAAGCAATTGATTTCATAATGAACAAAGAGGTGTAGATCATGCAAAGAAGTAACTTCCAGACACAAACTGAAAGAATAAACCTACTCGCAACAACTACTTTCATATCAATATTGAGTAAACAGGAAAGGAAAAATACTTTTGAAACAACTACTTTTATATGAACATTGAATTATACAAAAAACCCATTATCCTCTTCAGTTTATACTCCAAACACTTGTTATGGAATTGAATCAGATATCATTCAAAGGATTAATATAGGAATGTAGGCTTTCACGGCTGGCGTCGATGTTTTGGTTAGTTTCCAGGTTTTGCCGTGGTCTCCTTTGGTTACAATCTCCAAACGTTTCGACTGCAACTGCGGCAGTCATCTTCAGTGGCGTGGTTGGAGTACTCTTCTTGACGTATCAACGGAAACTCCAGTATCAAAGCCAAGAAGAGTACATCGATCAGGCCACTGAAGATGACTGCCGCACTCGCAGTGGAAACGTTTGGAAATTGCAACCAAAAAAGACCACGGCAAAACCCGAAAACCAACCAAAACATTCAGGGGATTGTTACACGATATAGAAAATGAAAGAGGTCACTGTCATCCTCAATGACGGACATCGAAGTTTTGGCTTCTTCAGCACCAATCTGGATAACATTACAAGAGTTTATTTTGAATTGAAAGTTTTCTACTTTTTTTTATGAAAATGGAGAAGTAGAAAGCCCAAACGTTTCTTTCTTGATGATTCACCGATGACACCTGTGAATCATCAAGATGGATAAACCTCTGAAGAAGCCAGCCACTCGGGCGAAACGTTAGGATGCAGTTCCAAACTACGACGGCCTTCAAACCCGAATGAAGACAGTTAAACTGAATATTGGCTGAGATTGAAACAAATAAGCGAATGAATTTCACTACGTACCTTCATCGATGACTTGAGTAGATTCTTGATATAAAGTCTTAATGTAATGAATAAATTAATTGCTTAGCCTTGTAAGGGGCCGTTCAATTATTACATAAGCATATTTATTACAATGATTTATCCCCCATCCCCTTGTCAGCAAAAGTAAGCAACGCCCCCTCCCCAATATCCCTTCCCCTCTCCCCTCCTCATCTCCCCCCCCCCTTAAGCTTACGTGAACATTGTTATATTGATTTTTCATTTTTCAAACATAGACAATGTGTGGGTTGCCATATTATGTGTCAAGAAGTAAATAACTACTGCTGACGTAATCACCATCTAAACTGCCCCTGCCCCCATTTAGTGTTTACGTAATACTTGAACGTCCCCTAATTAAGCAATTCTGTCTTAAGTATTTTTTTAGAAAACTATTATTTATTTAAAGTCTATATTTTGAAAACTTTTATGGGCACCAAATGAGTTTATTTGTAATTACTGGTAATAAAAATGAGATTCAACCAAATTACTTTGGCACCTATTCTAACAAGAATGATGTTAACCATAACGTAGAACTGTAAAAAAAATGAGAAACAATGTCTCCGTAATTGCCGATTGTTGACAAGCTGTAGTTTGTTTGTATTTTTTCAAGGCATATGAAAGCGGCCGCTGATTTGAACAATATGTCCTGGAGGATTAGACCCGAAGAGGTTCATTTAGAATCAGGAAAGACGTTTGGATCAAAATTAGCAATTCAGAAACTGTCAGAGGTGGTTACCTACTACGATAGTCAGTTACAAAAGTAATCTATGATTTTCTCTTTTTCAGACATACGGTTTAACGAGTTGCAGGGCATCTTTAACTTCCTGTACATCATTACAAGCTACTAAAATATTTACTACAGTTGGAGTTTACAGAGGTAGTCGTGTGGCGATCAAAAAAATTATCAGAAAAAAAGTTGATATTAGTAAGAAGCTATTGTGGGAGATCAAACAGGTAAGAATACTTTGGAAGGGTGAAATTTTGAAATAAGGGTGGGTAAATAAAGAGATTGTGGTAGTTTTTTGATAATTGGGTTAATTGTGGCTTATATTCATGCAAGAAATAGGTTTTTGGTCATCATTTGAAAAATCATCAAGACTAAATTGAAATATATCGTTTACGAACTCAACATTTGATAAAAATTAATATTATTGATGTTTTTTGATCCACACTTGTCACATGAGTTTGTTGTATCAGAAAACCCAATTTGTTCAACTTATATTTTGAAAAAAAGTGTAATTCGTGAGAATATTTCTGAAATCTCTGTATTTCAAACCATATGAAATAGAGATATAATTCAAATTTCAAATCGTGAAGGGTAGCTTACTTAACAGGCTGATTGAAAAATGAAGTCCTTGTAAATGCCTTTAGAAAAAAGTCTACAGAACTTTTTGAAAATAGCGTTGGAAACATTAAACTGGCATATAACAAAGATACGTGTCCCAATGCCAAAAGATTGTTCTATAAAGTGAGAATAAATCGATGGTGTGACAGTTTTAATCAAACTGTGATATAAGGGCCCCTTTATTCACGCCGGTATCCAGGCCGGGTGCTTCGAATAATCACGTGAAGAATGCCATGTACGCCCCTCCATGAAAGCTCCTGTCAACTGTTGACAGGAGTAACTTTGCCAAATGCGTCCGAGAGGGAAGCAGAGGCCATGCAGAGAAAGAGGGAGCGAGGGGAAGAGAGAAAGATATCGTTACTTTATGTTTAGTTCATTTCGTTTTTAATCACTGCTTTTGTATTATTTGTTGTATTTCAACAGTCTTTTAATTATTATCAAAATGGATAAAATTGGAACAGTTTCAAAAGTTTTCTTGTTTTGGTTGAGCATTACGGTGCGTGATCTATGAAATGAACATTATTTGTCCCTTTTGCGTTAATATTTGCTACGTACCTCTTGCGTTGCGTTACTTAATCTGAAAATCAAGCTTATGTATTTTGATCTCTTTCTCCCGTCTGTTAATTTACATATTTTCTTCGAGTACTTATTTATTGACCTAAACAAAAGAAATTAAAGATATTGTTACTTTTGCCCCGAGAGTTGACCCATAATTGACTACACTGAACAATAATAAAACTTTATTTCAGTTTAAACACAACAAACACTTTAACTATTATTCGAATGTCTATCGCCTTACTAGATCGCTCCTCGTACCGCACTGTAACTTCCACTTGAGTGTCTCGATGGGCGAGTGGATGGCGCTTATATTTGGCAATCGAAGGCGCTGGAACATTTCTTAGAATTCCATCGAAGCCGGTACATTATTCTCGCTACATCTAGAACGGCAGCGAACATCGAACTTCCACCCGCTCTTAGCTACGTCACAATTGGTTTATGACTACCAGTGGCGGCCGGCTTATTTTCTTCAGGGTATGGGCATAAAATAGCTGAAAACATCTTTTGGAAATTTGTTTTTATAATGTTTCTTATTTCCCTAAGAGGTAGCGTTACCACAATAAACCTATCAAAATATTGTTTGTGTCAAGTGGTGTAAAATGAGAGATGAAGTAACTTGATTTTTTTAAATTTCAGGTGAGAGATGTTACTCATGAAAACACAGTTAGATTTATCGGGGCTTGCATCGAATCCCCTACCATACTCATATTGACGGAATACTGCCCCAAAGGCAGTTTGAAAGACGTCCTTGAAAATGACGACATCCATCTTGACTGGAATTTCAGGATGTCTCTAATTTATGACATAGTGAAGGTAGAAAAATTTTAATTTTTTTTTTGAAGTCACACTTTTTTGTTGTCTCGCAGGGTATGAGCTATTTGCATAACTCTGAAGTATCAGTTCACGGAAAACTACGGTCCCATAATTGTTTGATTGACGGAAGATTCGTTTTGAAAATATCAGATTTTGGACTCGTCTCGCTTACTACGCCGTTAGAAGTCACTAAAGATGAAAAGTATTTCAAAAGTGAGTATTGCATTTCAAAATTGGAAGTGTTTTTTTATCCAGCTAACGAATTTAATACGATGTGATGTTAATAATAATAATAATTGCTCTGTGCACCCCTTCCTGACTAAGGAGTTTGATGAACAGACTGTTCACATTTTTACTGACGTCGTGGAGCCTTCACTCAACTGATCAAGCGACGGAGCCTTCTAAATCGGGGAAGGGGAGTTTCCGCTGACTCGAAAACTGATTATTAGACTGGATGAACTGTTGTTATGGTCAACAGCTCCATGGAGCATTCACCAGCATCCGTAGTATCTTGTTTTCAGAATGAAAAGTTTTGTCGGGGCGGGTTGTCCCTAAGCGCCTGAATCATAAATGATGACAGGCTTGAACATCGTGTCGTGTTGTGCAGTGAAACCCTGTTCTTAAGGTTGAGCCTTGATTTTCTGTTGATCACAGGAGAGAGCTCAGCTATATCCTTATTTGAATTTGCTCTTAATGGCCTCAACGTGGTATACTTAGGTAAGTCTGGGGCCTATTATATAGCCCAAGTACTTGACTCGAGACTACCATTCGACTTCCATGTGATCTAAGATCACATCACCATCCTCGTGTCTTCGGGGAAACGTTTCGTCTCCTCAAGTCTATCGCCTGAGTTTTCAGTGGATTACTCGGATCTCCCAGTCAAGGTACCAGCGGTCATCTGATGCACATTGCTGGTTATTCATGCTATGATATCCTGGTATGTCAAGCATCTAACTGAAGTATAACATTAGAGGCGTCTTAATTACCTACATGTTATAGGGCCATCATATATTTTCAAGTCTTCAGCAAGATGGTTTCAAGATGGTTTCAAGATGGTTGATTTTCAGTCAAATGAGAGGTCATTGAAGAAAATAATATCACGATGATGATCTTGATGATATAGGGACCAAGCCAGTCTTAACGAGGAGTAAAACCAGTAAGTCCTGGATTACATAAGACTTGAAAAATTTGAGCGCTACAGGCTCAAAAGTTCCTTAATACGACCCTGAAAATCGACATAATATCGAAAATTGTGATTTGAGCTCCACATAGAATACTCAAATCACTCTGTTAATCTGATGATCATTGTATTGTAATTTTCTTGAACTTGAGAATAATGATGTTATTCTTGACGGTAAAAATCTGGCTGGATAAATATCAAAAAGAACAATGATATGTCTACACTGACGTTGAAAAGGTCTTGAAAATAATAATAGCATTAGTATCGGATGGTCTGAGTGCAAAATATTGACACCATTTTTTATTCAATCAACTGGATGGAGTAATGTGTTCAGAAGCGTAGTATCAATGATCCTGTGCTAGACAATGCTGCTACGATCATACGTAGACTCCTTGGGAAAACGCCATCTATGGAATCAACAGAAAACTCTCTCGGAGGTGTCGTCATCGTTACCATTACCATTACGACTGATAAATAAAACAAATTATGCCTCCTCTTATTATTAGTATTATTGATTTCATTTCAGTCATTTCAACAAGTGAAGTAAGATGAGAATATACATTTATTTTATTTTCAGAAATGTTATGGGTTGCACCAGAATTGTTGCCACTGACAGTAATTCCAGGATCACCAGCCACCCAAAAAGGAGACGTTTACAGCTTTGGAATAATTTTGGAAGAAATTATTGTACGAGGAGGGCCTTTTGAAGCAGCTCGACAATTTCTGGAACCTCACGGTTAGTGATATGTCTTTGTAAATGGCATGAAATTGAATATAATGAGATATATTTTTTTCATTGAAAATATTTGAATAACTGGGCAATTATTTCCAAAATCAGAAACACACCTTCAAAACAATTTTGCGAGTTGATTTTAGTGTCATTAACTAAATATTTCAGAGGAAATGATGTACACGTTATATCTATTTGTCAGAAAACGGTGTTGATCAGTCGATCTATCAGCGTTTTGTTTCGTGAAGTCCGAGTCAGGAATAGTATTTATTCGTTTCAGAAATAATAGCTAGAGTGGCGTCTCGTGAGAGTCCTCCATTTCGTCCAGCAGTGACTCTAAGAGATTGTCCTGAAGAACTAGTGGAATTAATGGAAAAATCATGGAATGACAACCCCGAAGACAGACCTTCATTCGATACAATTCGTCTTAATTTACGAAATATAATGAAGTGAGTACACAGCTTAATAGTTTAGTATTATTAAGCAGGGAAAAAATACTGGTTTCAAGCTACTTTCTTCTAATATAATAATATGAAGCATATTATAAAAATAAAATATATTATAAATACATAAAATGTATTATAAATAAAAAACATTAGAGCCCAGAAAATCTTCATCTAATAAATACACACCAATTTTATTTACTCTATAGCAAACAATGTTGACGAATATTAAATGGTTCCACAGTATAAAATAATGCCCAAATAGAAATCTCTGATTTCTATGTCCAAATAGAAATCTCTGATTTTTTTATGGACATTGCTTACCAACGAAGAAACTCACCTCAGCTTGTTGTGCGGAGCTAGAGACAACAACATCATACCCAAAGGTTTTTTGCTGAAATCGCCAATCCCAGGAGAGAGAGCCAAACGCATATTGGAACGCGCCACCCGAGCACTGTTAAGGTCTCAAATTAATTACCACCGTTGGAAGAGGTCAACTCAGATGCAGGATGTCATAGAACGATTTGAAGAAATAAGAAGAGAGACCTTGGAAGAGGATCATGGACCAATATTTGCCAAGATTGAGAGCACGTGCTTGAAGATCCGACTAGACATGGAGAATACCCTGAACAGGAAGTGGGGAATGTTGGTGAGGAAACAATGACCAAATGCAGAACGAGAACAGGACAACTATGAACCACCAACGTCATCAACATGAGTTCCCGCCCGCTCACGAACGTAGAGGAATCTTTGTTGAGGAAAGGTCTAAACCATTGCCATTGCACCAACATCTGTGCCCACTTTGGAAATAATAACTGCAGTAGAATCCACCAGTTCCCTTATGGATCAGATCGAGGCAGAAGAATTCAGATGGAAAATCAGAGAACAGAATGATCGAGAACCAGTTTCAACTCCTAACGTCAGCAGTGAAGAACGAAGAGCCCTGAACGGGCTACGCAGAGACAACACCATCAAGATCTTACCTGCAGATAAGGGAAACACCACTGTTGTGATGGATACTGATATCTACGAACAAAAGATCGAATAGAACAAACTTACCGATACAAGTAATCATGGAATTACTAGGACGCTGTGTACGAAACTGCTACTTCCAACTGAAGGACGAATTTTTTACGCAAGATGAGGGATTGCCAATAGGATCGCCAATTTCACCACCGATTATATCTTATATATATATATGGAGTGGTTTGAAAGTCTGGCCATTGAAGAAGCCCACAAGAAGCCCCGAATCTGGTTGAGATACCTAGACGACACCTTCATAATATGGAACCATAGGAATGTAGAACTATACATTTTACTGAAGCACATCAACAACGTGAGTCCTTCCATCACTTTCACAATGGAGAAGGGAGTCCACAACGAATTGCCTTTTTTAGACGTTTTGGTGAAGAGGACCAACACTAAATGGGAAACATCTGTATATCGAAAACCCACTCGCACAGAACAGCATCTGAACCAGAAATCCAACCACCATCAATCGACAAAGACGGGAATCATCAATACCCTACTAGACCGTGCTTTCGAGCTCTGTAATACAAAAGAAGGTTTCGAAAAAGAAATAAGCATCATCAAAAATGACCTTCAACGGAATGGTTACTCCAGAGTGATGGTAGAACAGGCTTTAGCTAGAAGACAGCAAGAGCTCCACAAGGAAGAGAAGCTTCAGACAACTATGCTTTCGTATTTTTACAGGTACACGCATACGTTTTGCATATTCTCGACAATGATATTGAGAACGGCTGCCCTTCTTGAAGAAGAAAACATCGTAATTATATAATATATCGTAATATATATAATTATATAGGCAACTATTGCTTTTACGTTGTTTGCTACCACCTGCCTCCTTTCCCGAAACAATGATGTCAAATTTCTTAGTTGTGCATGACGCTCCTGGAGTAAGCATGAACGCAAATTCTTTCTGTGAGTACTTTCCACTCTTGAGTGCATAACTCTTTCAGCTATTGGCTCTAGCTATATTCATTGAATGGAAAAAAACACCATTGGTTAACCCTGAATGTTTCTTTCTAGATCATATCGTATAAATTTCAGCAACATCTCCTTCTTCAAAACTGTCATGCCATCTTTATCAATAAATGATGGAATTAGAATCTGTTGTGACTGCTTGATGGTTTCATACTATACTAAAATTCCATAAAAGTGGGCACTAAATTTTCAGATATATTGTTGCATTGAAACGAAAACATTATTGTCAGGTTGTNAAATACTTGAGTGTTGAAGAAATCACTTTAGTATACGAGTATATCCTAATTCAACATCTTCCGAAATTCTGTGAAAAGTGTTGCCGATAACATTATACAAAACTCAATTAATTCAATACTTATGAAAACCCAAATTATTCTATTTAGAATTGAAATGGTAGCCAAAAATTGTTGGTACTCGACGTAGGAATATTACTAAATAAAAATTCCACTTTTATGAATCTTCAAATTCACCACTTTTCAAATTTTGAAGTGATAACATCTTATCTAACATCTATCTCATACATACGTTAGCGAAAGGCAGATCGTCCGACAGACGATCAGTGTTTAGTGCGCGTAATATTATTTTATTATCTTAAACGTGGCCTAAGAATCATGACACTAATTTTGTATATGTACATTATTAGTATCTTTAATCCTACAAAAGTAACAATTGGCTTATGGTAGCTATAATATATGTACATACAAAAAATAATCAATAACATATTTTATTAATAAATAACCTTTCCTTACATTATCATGTTATTAAACATGAAATTTAAGTAATAAACTAAGCTTTTCTCAAGTTAAACAACTTCAATATTGAATAGTTCAACTTGTTATTAATTCTGTCAGGCGTCCCAAGACGCACACGTTTTTATTTTAATTGCCGAATTCTTGGAAATTATTTGTCTCAGAACAATGGTAATTCCTAAGTATCTGGTAGTTGCCTGATAATAATAATAATTTATTTTATTAATAAATAACCTTTCCTTACATTATCATGTTATTAAACATAAAATTTAAGTAATAAACTAAGCTTTTCTCAAGTTAAACAACTTCAATATTGAATAGTTCAACTTGTTATTAATTCTGTCAGGCGTCCCGAGACGCACACGTTTTTATTTTAATTGCCGAATTCTTCGAAACTATTTGTCTCAGAACAATGGTAATTCCTAAGTATCTGGTAGTTGCCTGATAATAATAATAATTTATTTTCCCAAGAAACCTACAATGTTCATAGCAGGGAAGAAAACAATAAAAAAAATACTACAACATAACTAAGTACGAACAGAGCAAACAAACAAAAAATCAGATCTGAAACTTGAAAAAAAATATAAATATACATACATATAGACACATATACATTATTATCACCATGAACATAAATGTACTCATCAAATAATATATGTATACAAACAATAAATATTTTTTCAAATTAATCTGGAATTTTTCTTTANTTTTAACAAATCTACTCTATAAGAAATTTTCAACTTCATGAAATAAAAATGAATGAAGGACCACATAGTATTTTTATTTTATAATCGACATGTTTAACGTGTTTTATGAAATACATTTAGGGCTACATATTAAAATTTGGTCACGTGATGCAGAGTTTGTTTTTGACCTTGTTTAGATAACTTTATAAAATATTTATTTTTGAAAGGATAATACCCATTAATATCAACATTTTCCACATCATGCTGACTCAATCGATGACAGTGCATACTTGTTTCACTTTAGCGTCATTTTGAAGAACTTTGATCATACTCCCGCTTGTGAATGAATCGGTTTTGCTGTTGGCGATTTCTTCAATTTGGATTCGACACAGCAAAGCTCCACCTTTTAACACCAGATGGCAGCATTACCGCCTTACGTTGGGTTACGCAACCCAACATAACATGTATCTCGATCGACAGTTCACAATTCGTGCCTTAAACTAATGAGTAAGGAAAATAAACAAGCCTTGGTGACGCTTGGCTTACATGTTAGAAAAATCTAACCTTTAAATTTTTGTAGGAGTACAGGTCGTCCCGTGGGGTTATGCATACTTCGCATGATTCCTGGTGAAGCGATCTGCTCCATAATCGAAAAGAACATAATTCACTTTTTAACTGATATAATACATCAACGCTAGAAATAAAATTCCATTATTATTAACTTTTGTAGTGTATGTGGTATGGAAAATATAGTGAAATAAATACAATGTGTACATGACTTTTGAGTCTCGTATTAATTAATAGCTTGAATTGTTTGTTCATGAAAGTGCACTCGCTTGTAAGCAAAATTTTTAAAATTATGTAATTTCAAGCCAATCATTCTGATCGATTGAGCTTGGTGTAAGAGCGTTATTTGAATTATTTCCAGAAAAAAAAAAACAATAATCAAAAATCTTAGTGTCAAAATTTCAGGATTTATGAACAAAAAATTCATGTTGATTTTAATCGGTTCAACAGATCTTGTGTTTAATTTCTGTAAATACTGCCTAATCTCCAACTCTTTAATGGTTTCTATGTATTGAGGGAAATAATCATTGTCGAAAATCTTGTGGAAATATGAGTCTCTATTTTTTTTACTGAAAAAAAATAATTTCATGGTACCCTCAAAACGCCGGTCTAATTCACTGAATAAAAGTACCTGCCTAACGTTTCCGATGATCAATTGCTGAAATTATTACTACAGGAATTTCAAGGTCGATGATGCGGGACTGATAAATCCATAAATATATTCATTCATCTGTTTAGATTTTTATATTCAATTATTTTTTTTGGAAGACCTGTGTAGGTACGTATCTTTGATGTTACGAGAAGAAGGGTTAAGTTACATTTCTCGAAAATACGTGATTCAATAGTTTCTGAATGAAAAAACTGCTTTGCCTAACTATGCAAACAATTTGATGAAATATTTAAGTAAATTTTGTGTAAAAAAATCGTTGATATGTATACCCTCACCCACAATTCTCTAACATCATAGATATTTGGTAATTCAGCTTCACTCTTATTGACAAGTT